TTTCCGCAATTTTGGCCACTACTGTAAATGATAATTAGTGGAAGGTGAAATGTTTTCAAAGGTTGCACTCAACGCTGCTAGCTGCTAGTACAAGGAGTCCTAAACCTACAACAGTTCATATAGTGACCGTTCAGAGTTACAACGGCACTGAAAAAAGTGACTTAGGACCGTTTTTCACACGACGGTCTCAGCATCCCCGGGGCCGCGTGATCGAAATTCAGATGCTTGGCAACTGGCTCACATTTATGATGGTTGCATGTCCCGAAGTCATGAGATCACCTTTTGCAACCTTATGGACAAGCAAAATTAATTAGTAACAGCCGCATTACTAACTTAACAATTGGAGTGATTCCCTTAACAACGGCGGCAAGAATGGGGCAAAACTCACTTAACAAATGTCTCTCTCAGCAACATAAATTTTGGGCTCAATTGTGGTCGTAAGTTGAGGAATACCTGTATTCTTTTTTTTTTTTTAAAGATGAAATTCAAATTAGGGATGGGCTGGGCTGTGCTTTCCACCTGAATCCAACATACTGCTTCAGAATGCACAATGATCATGAATGCTGCACTTGCTGGCAGTTCATTAAAGCAGCTGTGTCCTTTTCTATATTTCTGTAATGAGTTACATTACAGCCCTGGAAGCAGGTACAGTCGCTTCAGTGATACTCTTTGGAAGTCAATCCAAAGCCATGTGCCATCTGCCTTGCTTTTACTGTATGGGGAATGATTTTTAAGAGGAATGCTTTGTTTTAGAATGGCTTGAAAAAAATAATAACTGGGTTTAGATAGAGCAGTGGTGGCGAACCTATGGCACGCGTGCCAGAGGTGGCATTCAGAGCCCTCTCTGTGGGCACACGCGCCATGCCACGGAGATGGCAACAGTCCCTCTTCAACCAGCCACCCGCTAACTCACCGAGGTCCCACGTGGCCGGATGCATCCCAACATGGATGGTTCCCCCCCCGTCCCATCCCTCCTGGCCTCGCATGCTCTCCTTTTCCAGGGCACGACCCACTGCATTGCTTCCTCAGCTGTCGGCCGACCGTCCAGCTCAGAGGTGGCTTCTCTGAACTGGTGGCGGGTTGCGGAGCCCCAGAGTGCGCGGGTCGAGGAGCTGGCAGGCTGTGGCTGCTGACGGATACTGTCAGCTCCCATGCGCTCGCTGGCCTCTGTATGGGGGGGGTGATGGTGTCAGGCAGCAGCCGCCCTGGCCCCTGCCTCGCCTTGCCCTGCGACAATGGCACCCCCACCCTGCCTCGCCTTGCCTCACCTCACCCCGCAGGATGAGCCTCCTGCCCACTGCCCCACCTGCTAGAGACCCCCTGGATCTTCCCCAACCCTGCCCGGCCCCCAACAGGTGTCCCTCCCCATGAGCAACATCAAGGTGACCGCACCTACCTTGGCCACACCCATCCAGTTTGCCATGACCACCACAGCCACGCACACACAGTGGGCCATGCCTCCTGGCACCCAGCGATACATAAGTGGGTTTTGGGTTGCAGTTTGGGCACTCGGTCTCTAAAAGGTTCGCCACCACTGAGATAGACTATGTAACTATACTAAGTAATTTGGGGCTTTGCTTAATTCTTTCTCCTATGTTCTGCTAACCACAATGAGGGTGTGGGCTTCTGTTTCTCCTTTAGATTTAATTAACTAAATTAGCCTGTCATCAAAGCCTAAACTTTGGTTATTTGTTTTCCCCTGTGGTTAATTAGTAAAGTAGAAACAAGCCAGAATCGTAAACTATACCGCAAGACGTGTCTGATTAACTTTCACCAAAAGGGAATTTTCAAAACGAAAGAGTTCAGACGTAGTCTCTTCCTATCGACACGGAGAGAACAGAAATAGGTTTATTACGGCTTTATACAAAAAAAGGGGGGTTTGTTTGGATTATTATGCATTGACGAAAAAGATCCGGGTGGGGTGTTAACCTACTTTCTAAAATATGAGTGTTAGAGGTATTACTAACCATAGCCTCCAACGACCAAACGAATAACACAGAACAGGACTTCAAAAGAACACGTTACCAAAATGATGAAAGACTTGGAAAGCCTCCAGACCGCGGAACAGAGTCTTTGTGAATTGCAAGAAAGGTATTTGAGAATGCTGGGATTATACAGACCAGGGGTAGGTAACCTTGGCTCTTTTATGACTCGTGGACTTCAACTCCCAGAATTCCTGAGCCAGCCATGCTGAGGGGAAAGGGAGAGGTTTCCAAGCTGAGCCATGCTGGCTCAGGAATTCTGGGAGTTGAAGTCCACGAGTCATGAAGGGACCATAGTTCCCTCATGCTGGCTCAGGAATTCTGAGAGTTGAAATCCACGAGTCATGAAGGGACCATAGTTCCCTCATGCTGGCTCAGGAATTCTGGGAGTTGAAGTCCATGAGTCATAAAAGAGCCAAGGTTGCCTACCCCTGATATAGACCATTAGGGCAGGGGTCTTCAAACGTGGCCCTTTTATTACTTGTGGACTTCAACTCCCAGAATTCCTCAGACCCCTGCATTAGACTGTTCAAAAACTTTATTATAAAGTTGTTATTACAAAATGTGACAGGCCCCAAAGTTGAGAAAACCGTGGCTTCCAGCTGCCCTTTGTACTTTACATTCTCTCTACATTAAGATTCCTGTCAAAGGGGAACACGGATGTGTTTGACTAAGCCAAAATGCTCCTCGCCTGATTAACGATCGTTTCAAGAATAAAACTCGACCGATCTGTCAAGAGATTGGCAATCTTTCACTATTCTGCCTCCACTTTTACGCGATGCTTAGAATTGCGTTAAAGTGTTTGCCCAGTGAATTGAACCGTGGACAGAATTAGATAAATGTGGTTAATTTGTGCTAAAAATGTTTACCCCCCAAAGGCTTGAAAAAGCACAGGAAGAGAATCGAAACGTCGCTGTAGAAAAACAGAACTTAGAACGCAAGATGATGGATGAAATCAGCGATGCAAAACGAGAAGCCTGCCGACTCAAAGAATTGAGGGAAGGAGCCGAGTGCGAACTCAGCAGACTTAAATACGCAGAAGAGGAGCTGGTGCAGGTATTTGTCAAGCTACATTCAAAGTTTCAGTTTCCATCTGGATCCAGTGACGCTTGCAAATGCTGGCCAAAAATCAAACTTTGAACTTTACATCTAACAAGCAAATATCCCCCGTACATTTCTTACGATAAAGGGCTGCCCTACGATGGCTTTTGAAGGGTAGAATAGAAGGGTCCAATCTGGAATTGGATCCGATCTTTTAATACAAGGGCCTCCATCATCCTACTTTAGGTAAATAAACAATAAAGTCAGGAACAAATGAAACTGTAAATCAGCGAGGCAAATTGAGGTCAGTCACAGAAAGACATTTCAGAAACCTGGAAATAGATGGATAAAAACTGGGTAATTTGATCTATGGAAATAGAAAACATGGAATGTTTACAGGCTACCTGTGCAGCAAACTAGAACAAGAACTAGATCAGGGGTCTTCAAACTTCACCCTTTTAAAGTAGTGAACTGGACAGATTCTTGCTGGAGAAAACAGATCAACACTGATGAGAACATAAACTAAATAGGGAATTCCTAGGGAATCATCAACACCTTGAATTTGCCCAGTAGGCTACTGGCAGTCAATGCATCGTCTTCAAAGTCATCTTCATTGGCAGCCCTGCATAGTTTGAATTGCAGTAATCCAATTGATAGAAGACAGGTCATCTGTAGTCAATGCTTCTTCTACCTAAAGCAGGGGTCTTCAAACTCGGCCCTTTTATGACTCATGGACTTTCAACTCCCAGAATTCCTCAGCCAGGCAAACTGGCTGAGGAATTCTGGGAGTTGCAGTCCACAAGTCATGAGAGGGCCAAGTTTGAAAACCCCTGGAATAGATTCATCTTCTATTTGGTTAACTGAAGACCTTTCTTTCAGATGTGTTAATGAATTAACTAACCAATTCATTAACCCATTATCCTAGTCTTACTTATAAATGTTCAACAAAGCATTGGTTCTGTCAGACGTTGTCTTGGCAACATGGTTAACGGGCCGGTGCCTTTATCAAATCTAGTGCCTTCTCTTCGTTCCCCTCCCCCCTTCCCCAGGTCCGTATGGCTTTAAAAAAAGCTGAGAAGGAGTTCGAACTGCGAAGCAATTGGTCTGTTCCAGACGCGCTGCAGAAATGGCTGCAGCTCACACACGAAGTGGAAGTCCAGTACTACAATATTAAGAGACAAAATGCAGAAATGCAGCTAGCCATCGCCAAGGAAGAGGTAAAGTTGCACGGTTGAACTATTCAGGTCAAAATTGGGAAAATGAAGATTGTGGGTTCGGTGGCAGCTGATGATCTTCACATCTCAGGACGCAGGGCTATCCCTCTCACTGGTGCCGTGTTGAAACTTTCTCAAAACGTCCTTTAATGTTCCATTTGCTGCTCTGGACCTTTTCTGGACCATCCCCTTTTTAGAGGAGGGCGGCGGCAGGTTCTAGAAATGAATGCCGAGAAAGGCCACAATTGGGATACCCCAGTCTTGCTAGCCTTAAGAGGATTTGCTTCTGGAAGCGGTTAAGATGCTGCAGGGTAACGGCGTGGTTTCAAATCATGCTGGTGGGAGGACGGAACTCACTGCTCCTGGATCTCAAATCAGTTCCAGATGGTGTGAAAAAGGGATAACCCCTTGAATTCTAGAGTGCCACATTCCCCTGTCCCGCATTCTTAGGGCTGTACCCTCTGTTTTTAAGAGTTGCACCCTGTGGTTCTAACAGCCTTTCTGTTAGACACAGTGAAACCAGGTTTTCATGAGTTTTTTGTGATTTTCACCAATAGTAACAGCAGTCATCTCAGCCTCAGTAGTAGCTAGCTCGTGAAATGATACTGCAAAAGGGATGGGGAGGGATCTTTGAAATAAACATGGCAGAGAACTGAATGATCAAATAAGGTTTCAGTCTTGACTATTAGCTCACGCCGCAGCCCTTTTAGGGCCCCCCAGCGATGCGAAACTGGACGAGGAAGACGGAGCTCGTCTTCCAAGCGTCCATGGCGGCCGCGTCGGCAAACCGGAAGTCTGAAGGCCATCTGCAGATCTCACTGACTAGGGTCTCAGAGCAGCATCCCAAAGTCTATCTTGGTGTCAAAAGTAAGAACATATTTGTTTCGTTTTGAAGATGCAGCTAAGATAGAATGTCTCTTCAGATACTGGCGCCAAGAAGGGAATGCCTCTCTCTCTTTCCCTTTCCCCGTGGCTTAAAATAAGCTAAGCCTTAAATTCCTGTGATGTTTAATTTTAGGCAGAAAAAATTAAAAAGAAGAGAAATACTGTATTTGGAACGTTACATGTTGCACACAGTTCTTCACTCGATGAAGTGGACCACAAGATTCTGGAAGCAAAGTAAGACATTGAATGGGTATCATGCCCTTTATATTGGTTACAGAAATCTTGTTGTTGTTTTTTTTAATGGGGCTCGCACATTTTAAATTAAAAACTCAACATAATTTGAACAAAGTCCTTCAAGCTGGTGACGCTTGAGGAAGGGGTAGGATTGTCTGTAGGATGACTACAGTTTCCTGCTGATTAAATATTGTCTATTCTGGCTGATATTCTCTGCTAAAATGGGCTCAACGGCACGGATCCAGTATGGACAGTCTGTTGTTGGAAGGGTTAATAGACCCAGTCCTTAAGGAGACGGGTGCGCCACCTTTTTAAAAGAAAGATCCCTGGGGATTTGGCCATCTTGGAGAAATATAATCCAGCCTCACAAAATTCTGTTAACGTCGCCTCCGAATAATCTTAGTTCATCTAGTCCTGCTTCTTGTCTGGCTTACCTGGCAGGGCTGACCCTAAGTCAGGGGTAGGCAACTTTGGCTCTTTTATGACTCGTGGACTTCAACTCCCAGAATTCCTGAGCCAGCATAGCTCAGCTGGCTCAGGAATTCTGGGAGTTGAAGTCCACGAGTCATAAAAGAGCCAAGGTTGCCTACCCCTGCCCTAAGTGATATGGTCACATGATGTGTTATGCCTATGACCACATTGATTAATGGTGATAATTCCAGTCCCACTTACCGCCATAACTTGGGGACTATTTGTTTGTAAAATGTATTAGCCTCCCATCTTACCGCACGGTAACTCTGAGTGGCTTACGGTATTAAAAGATAAAACTGTATAAACTAATAATATAAATACTACCTTTTTAAAAAATCAACCTAACTAAAAAGATGGGGAGGGAAGGAGCATGATGAGATGACCTTCATTCAGAACTCTTGCTGGAAAAACATGTCTCTTAAATCAGGGGTCCCCAACCCCCGATCTGTGGACCGGTACTGGGCCACGGCAGGCCAGCAACCGGGCCACACAAACAAGCAAAGCCCCATCCGTGGGATGTAGGCACCACACAAAACCACGCCCCCTCCGGTCCGTGGAAAACCCTCCATGTAACCGGTCCCTAGTGCCCAAAAGGTTGGGGACCTCTGTCTTGAATGAAGTAATACACAACCTAGGTGTTCTTGTGGACCCACAATGCCAGGTAGATGCTGCAGCTAGGAACACCTTTGACCAGCTTCAGCATTTCTGTCAGCTAGGTTGTTTCTTGCCCCGGCTCTGCATAAACTCATTTCTCAGTTACCTTAGTGCAATTTTATAAAGGGTTGCTCTTGAGCAGTGGTGGCGAACCTATGGCACTCAGAGTCCTCTCTGTGAGCACATGCACCATCACTCCAGCCCCACCTTCCCCCCGTGACTCCCTCCTTACCATCAGCCCTCCGGAGGAGAGTCGCTCCCGAGCGCGGTCCACGCAGAGCAGCGCAGCCAAGGACATGGCAGCCACGCAGCAGCGACAAGACTCCGCCCTCATGCCCCATTGCGCGCAGTTGATGCTGTAGGGTGTGGGTGGAGGGCATGGCTGCCATCGCTCTGCTGGGCCACCTGGGCCATCTGCGGCGGGCTGTGGAGATGGTGGGTGGCCCTGCGGGTGGGCAGGGTGGGGGCGGATCCGGGTTTTGGGCACTCAGTCTCTGAAAGGTTCGCCATCATTGCTCTTGAGAATGGGGTTGCTGACCGGTATTTAAATATCACGGTGGATATGTGACATAGCTTGTTTTAATCTCTGGCCTCTTCCCAGGAAAGCACTTTCTGAATTAACCACCTGCTTGAGAGAGAGACTCTACCGATGGCAGCAGATTGAGAAGATCTGTGGCTTCCAAATAGCCTACAACTCAGGACTGCCCAGTCTGACCTCCTCCCTCTACTCTGATCACAGTTGGGTAGTCATGCCACGAGTTTCCATTCCGCCCTACCCAATCGCGGGGGGAGTCGACGACCTCGATGAAGATACCCCTCCCATTGTTTCCCAGTTTCATGGTACGCGGTGGGGGATATCTCAGTTGACCTTGGACGATCGGGGCGGGGGAGACACACCTTTGTGGCTGGAGTCTAAAACTCTGAAATAGAATAGTCCTTAACTTACGGCCACAATCGAGCCACAGAATTGATGTTGCTAAGCAAGACAGTTGTTAAGTGAGCTTTGTTCTATTTTATGAACCTTCCTTGTCCCTGCAGTTGTTGAGATATTAGCAGAGTGTCAACCGTCCGAATAGCAAACTCAAAATCAAGGAACCTTCAAGGCAGGGGTCTTCAAACTTGGCAACTTTAAGAATTGTGGACTTCAACTCCCAGAATTCCTCAGCCAGCCAGGGGCTGGCTGAGGAATTCTAGGAGTTGAAGTCCACAAGTCTTAAAGCGGCCAAGTTCGAAGACCCCTGCTTCAAGGCTTTGAAGCGCCATGAAAGATAAACTTTACTGAACGCACATCAGGGAACGGAAGAAGTAAAGCCAGATCTGATTTTTCCACGCTAAAATCTGCCTGGTTAACAATAGCTTCCCTCAGCCCCCACCCACTGCTTGTTCATGTTGCCCAATCATATACGAGGGCAATTCGGAAATCTCCTTTTGGTTATCAACGACGGACACTTGCAGATACAGAACTTTCATTATACACATTAGAAAACTGCAACATTACGTTACTTTCTGACATAACCGCCACTCAAATTGAGGCACTTGTCACAACGTCTTACAAGGTTTGAAATCCCTTAGTCGTAGTCGCTCGGCGCCAAATCTGGGCTATACAGGGGGGGTGATCAAAAACATCCCAACGGAACAGCTTCAACAGTTCTTGGATTGCGTCTAGCGGTGTGCGGGCGATCATTATCACAAACCATGTTTAAATTTATTTGCCTTCAGCCCAAATCATCCAGTGTGGCTTCAATTCTGAGAACATTTCAATTTCTGATGTACCTTTTTAGAAGGACCCCTGGTCCTTCACATGTTGCTGAACTAAATGGCCCCCACCACCCTGACAAAGTCTGTAGCTCAGCAACCTGTTCTTTACCCCTGAGGATGGCTTCAAATAAAGTAGGGTACTTGTATCATTTTGTTCTGATCTGTGGCTTGTGTTTCTCGTCGCCTGTGTGACAATGCATTCTCCCGCCCGATACGTTTGAAGCCCAGCAAAATTTTAATCGGCACTTTTATAGCAAGATGCCAATAAAATTCCTATTTTCCCATGAAACCGACACAGGCAGCGAGACAGTATTGGTTTCTGTTAAATATTTGAGTCAGGTGGCCTGTTCTACTAGGCCAGGGGTAGGCAACCTTGGCTCTTTTATGACTCATGGACTTCAACTCCCAGAATTCCTGAGCCAGCATGGCTCAGCTTGGAAACCTCTCCCTTTCCCCTCAGCGTGACTGGCTCAGGAATTCTGGGAGTTGAAGTCCACGAGTCGTAAAAGACCCAAGGTTGCCTACTCCTGACCTATACTATCAAATTTGATTTTGGAAATGCAAGTCAGATTTAACATAGAACTAAATCACAAATCTTCTTGAGACAACAGGGATAACTCTTGTAATTTTTGGAATTCCTGTTTGCATTTGTGAATGTCAAGTGTTCGTTAAATACATTTTTTCAATAACCCTTTGAACAGTTTAGGAAAGCAACTCTCAATAGCCCATATTCGTAAGTATTAATCTCCCATATTTCAGGCAGTTTTTTTGCATTCTCACTTACTGAAATGTGTGCAATTTAAATATTTGAGTCAGGTGGCCTGTTTTACTAGGCCAGGGGTAGGCAACCTTGGCTCTTTTATGACTCGTGGACTTCAACTCCCAGAATTCCTGAGCCAGCATGGCTCAGCTTGGAAACTTCTCCCTTTCCCCTCAGCGTGGCTGGCTCAGGAATTCTGGGAGTTGAAGTCCACGAGTCATAAAAGAGCCAAGGTGGCCTACCCCTGTACTAGGCGGTAACCAAAGCTACAGGAAAATGCCGTCAAGTGGAGCTCAATTTCACCCTTGCCTTGTCTGTCTCATTGGCTGTTGTGTTTTAAAGAAGAGTATTAGGAAGGGAAATTAAAAAAAAACACCTCCATTTTATAAAGAAAGGACTTTTCAGGGTGTTTTTCTGTCTTCACGGAGCAGAGTAAATGTTTTGGAGTGATGAATGGCTTCTGAATCCGGTTCTGTTCTTCTCAGGGTCTGTTGTGAAAACCACCACCTTAGCGAGGAGTAGCAGCGTGTACCGCTCCAGGCGAAATGTTGTGCCGTCATCGCCTCAGTTGCAACACACAGCACAAACACAACCCACTGCGCACACCCCAGCCACCCTGCAATCTGCAGACCCAGACCTCCTTTCGGTGTCCAGTTGTCCTGCTGCTTACCGTACGGAAGAGGAGGAGGAGGCTATTTACTTCACTGCTGACAAGCAATGGTATGAACCTTGGGGCATTCATGTACAGACCAAATTAGAGTACATCAGGGGCCTTCAAACTTGGCTCTTTTAGGACTTGTGGACTTCAACTCCCAGAATTCCTCAGCCAGGCACGCGTGCCTGGCTGAGGAATTCTGGGAGTTGAAGTCCACAAGTCCTAAAAGGGCCAAGTTTGAAGACCCCTGGAATAGATGATAAGAGGATGAACATTAGCACACTCTGAACATTAGTGAGAAAGAGCCTGTGGCCTAGAGGTTATCACAGCTGCTTAACATGCAGACAGCCCAGGTTCGAATCTCAGAAGGGCATGTCTGGTTGATAAGAACTAAAAAGTTCGAAATAGCTATTCCAGTTCTCCCTTAATTTTTTGTTGGCAATCCAAATTTTAAATATTTTTAGGCAAAAGATTCCTTTCTCCCATATTTGGGCCTATATATATATATATATATATATGTATATATATGTGTGTGTATATATATATATGTGTGTGTATATATCCCTTTAGAACTGAAAGACTGTGGCAAGCAGAGAAATTGGAGTCACCTCAGCGTGCCTGGCTGAGGAATTCTGGGAGTTGAAGTCCACAAGTCATAAAAGGGCCAAGTTTGAAGACCCTTGGAATAGATGATAAGAGGATGAACTCTGGGCATTAGCACACTCTGAACATTAGCGCAGAAAAGATATATATTTTCCTTTAGAACTGAAAGACTGTGGCAAGCAGAGAAATTGAAGTCACCTTAGATCAGGGGTCCCCAAACGAAGCGACTTTAAGACTTGGGGACTTCAACTCCCAGAATTCCTCCGGTCTTAAAATTGGCAAGTTTGCAGATTCCTGCCTTAGATTAGGAAGGGAGATTGTATTATTATTATTAATATTATGGTTAATCTTCCATTTGATTCACAGTCTGGGACTGGTAAAAACTTAAAAGTTCAAGTCCTAACCTAAGAGAGCGTCTGAGTATATGGGCTGTTCCAAGTCAGGTGATTTTTTTTTGCAAGGTCAGAATATTCAGGTCCAATAAGTTCAAAATTTCCCAAAGGTAGCCCTTATAGGTATTGCTCCAATTGTATAATAGTATATCCTATTATTTATTTATTTGCTACCCATCTCGTTTTGAGGTGACTCTTTGGGTAGAGCTGGACACATCCACGAAGCTTTCTTGGATAATAGAGATTATTGCCTCCTTTGGAATTTTTTTTTTTAGTTTTTCTAGTCCGATTCCTGGGACTCCAACATAGACCTCCATCCAGATACTAACCAGGATTTGCTCAGCTTTCTAGATTAGTCACGACTGGCTAACACTGCCGCCTAGCGACGCCTTTGAAATGTAGCTCTAATTGTCTATAGCAGGGGTTCTCAACCTTGGCAACTTTAAGACTTGTGGACTTCAACTCCCAGAATTCTTTGCTGGCTGAGGAATTCTGGGAGTTGAAGTCCACAAGTCTTAAAGTTGCCAAGGTTGAGAACCCCTGGTCTATAGGGCTTTGCATATCAAACCAAGGATTACAAATAGCCGGACGTTTAGAGCTACGCATGCTGGTTTTTCTGCCACAAATCACAAAGGAATTGCCAGTGTTTAGGCTGTTGAGATGGAAGCCACCGATTGCGAAGCCAAATGCAAGGGACTTTCTGCATAATTCAACTCTTGAGTTTCTTAATATGTTCAGTAGGCAAAAATTACCCAGTGACCTCCTATATCGTTAGAAATATCGCTGCTATGATTGTATGCTCTCAGCTGTGGCAACTCCTCTCTGCAAGTTACCTGCCCTCTGGTCTAAAGCCTTAAAACGAGATAATGGGAAAGCCGTGGAAGGTTTTTGCACGTATTGTTTCCTTCATCTTCCTTTAAATTATATACATTTTATATACCATTTGTTAGTCACCTGCAAACTGTAGAAAACGGCAGCTTTGATAAGTTGTTGGTGTGTTTGGGGTTGCAAACTGAGCTAAAACCGTATAAACAATTTTTTTTCTGACCTCTTTACGCAGAAATTTCCGTAATTTTTAGCGCTGTGTGAATATAGTGTTGGATTAGATCACGGGTAGGCAACCGTGGCTCTTTTATGACTTGTGGACTTCAACTCCCAGAATTCCTGAGCCGGCATGGCTCAGCTTGGAAACCTCTCCCTTTCCCCTCAGCATGGCTGGCTCAGGAATTCTGGGAGTTGAAGTCCACGGGTCATCAAGGAGCCAAGATTGCCTACCCCTGGATTAGATAAACAGTTCTTATTTCTAAACATTCTTAATTAATTACATAAATGTTTTCATATGTCAGGGGTGTCAAACTTGCTGTGTCACGTGACGTGTCGCGACATATCGCAACTTTCTTCCACTTGCTGGAGCTGCATTTTGACTGCTATCCTGCAGTTCTACTTTTTACAATATCTTTTACCATGCAGCCCCCCAACTAGGGGCGATAAGCAGGCTCAAGTCGCAACTGAGAAACATTTATAAATCCAAATGTCTTTTTCTGACAAAGAGTTAAAGAATTAAATTGGGTGACTAAGATGGCCATTTCGAGCTCATTTGCTCTCTTCAGTTAGCCACACCCTTTTTATGCCTAGCATGTAAACTGCCCAGGTTCGAATGCCATAAAAAGGGTGTGGCTAACTGAAGAGAGCAAATGAGCTCGAAATGGTCATCTTAGTCTCCCAATTTATATATAGTATATATATCATTTGATCCTGTGTAATGGAACAAGATGTTATATTTACTTATACGGCTATCATTGAATCAAATAATTATTCACAATTGAGGTGCATTCCTGTATAACATTTAACTTAATTGAAAATTGCAGACATCCATACTTGTTGTTTTTGTGATATAGGCAGGTATTTTTGGAAGCCAAATCACGCCAGCATTCCTTCTTATGTAAACCAGAAGAGATAATATCTCATTTTAAGGATGCTTGCTAAGGAAGATGGGCATGAAGGAAGCATACGGAGATAGCGAGTCAGAAGAGAGATTTATTTATTTATTTTTGGCTTGTCTTTTGCTGCAAATACATTAGAACGTCCCAAAAGTGCTTTGCAAAAGGCTGCTGGAACATTTTCAAGGAAAAAAAACCCAAGAAAGGTCCAGTTGCCTTTTGAAAAGCACTTTTGGGACAACCACTGACTTGGACTACTGAGAATCTCCATAGTCATTATTTATTTATTCCTAGACTCTGTGGAGCCTTGACAGATACAGGCAGTCCTTGACTTATGACCCACAATTGAGCCCAAAATTTAAGTTGCTAAGTAAGACAGTTTTTAAGTGAATTTTGCCCCATTTTACAACTTTTCTTGTCCTACTTGCTAAGCAAACCACTGCAAGTTGTTAAGTTAGTAATATGATTGTTAAATGAACCTGGCTTCCCCATTGACTTTGCTTGTCAGGAAGTCGCAAGAGACGATCACGTGACTTTGGGACACCGCAGCCGTCATACAGCAGCGGCCAAACTTGTGGAAACCTTTGGGGGAAAGTGTACAGTAGAAATGCCACCTTTGGTTAAGTTTCCACCCATTTTTCTTCTAATTTCTTTATAACTGTAGCCTTGTTCACTTAATAATACTATTTTAATCGCTTTCTGGGCAACCAGTCAACTCTTTGCACCATTACTTTAATTTGATTACGTTTTACAAGCTCACTAAATGAAAGAACACCAAAAAACCCAACCAACTTGACAGCGATCACATAACACACTGACAAATGTCCTCCTCTCAGCTTCAGTACGTGAGATCAATAACTGAATCCTACTGTGATCTGATTGGCTCATTGCCAAAATAAGATGACACCCGATTGGCTCTCTAAACACTCATGCTCATTGGCTACCATCAGATGAAGGAAAGCTACCTGATATCAACCTAAACAAGTTGTACTTCCTTTTTCTAGTTATTTGGCTATAACCTTTCACAGAATACAGTACAGATAATTGAACAAACTTTGTTGCATTACATTCTTGATTAAATTATGTTTCCATTGATATATAATTTTATGGTACTACTCCAAAAAAAGTGGCATTATTAGCCATCAAACCTCAAAAGTACACTTTTCCCAAAAGGTTTCCACAATTTTGGCCACTACTGTAAATATGAGTCAGTTACCAAGCATCTGCATTTTGATCACATGCTGCAGTGGTCGTTAAGTGTGAAAAACTGTCACAAGTCACTTTCACAAATGCCGTTGTAACTTTGAACAGTCACCAAATGGGCTGTTGTAAGTCAAGGACTACCTTGTGTAAACCTTACGTTGCCCATTGACTGGACTAGAGCCAGAGGTCCCTTTTGGGCACCAGGGACCGGTTCCGTGGAGAGAGGTTTTTCCGTTGGACCGGAGGGGGCTGTGGTTTTGTGTGCTGCCTGCATCCTGTGGATGGGGCTCTCCTTGTTTGTGTGGACCGGTTACCTGCATGCTGCGGCCCGGTACCAGTCCACAGACTGGAGGTTGGGGACCCCTGGACTAGAGTGATTGTCTAGATTAATCTGATCTCTTGGTCTCCTCTGCGTTGTAGGGAAGCTCAGGATGCGGGTTCCGAATGCGACTCCTTCAATTCTTCCACTGGAAGGAAGCAGTCTCCCCCTTCAAGCCTTGACATCTATCAACCCCTGTCACCTCAAAAGACGTCCCAAGAGGATGTCTCCTTAGAACAGTCCTCTACCGGAGACTCTTCCTCTCTCACCGCCGATATTTCAAGGGGTTCGCCGGACTGCGTGGGGCTGACAGAAACTAAAAGTATGATCTTCAGTCCCGCGAGCAAGGTGTACAACGGCATTCTGGAGAAGTCCTGCAGCATGAACCAGCTCTCCAGCACCGCTCCTATCCCTAAGCCTCGGCACACCTCATGTTCTTCCACCAGCAGTGAAAGCCGAGCCGGGCACGAACCTTCTCCCGTCTCCCAGATCAGTAGCGTTTCACACGACCTGTATCAGAACGGAGAGCGAAACAAAAAACCGTCGAAAATCAAGAGCCTTTTCAAGAAGAAGTCCAAGTAAGACTGCTGGAAGAGAGATTTTTTTTTTCAACTACGGCATTCTTTTGACTTTCTGGTCATTATTACTGTTGTTATTATTATTATTTAAATTAAGAATGTAGTTGTCCGACTTTCCTAGGCTTGGGCGACACAGCAAGAAAATCTCTTAGGTCAAGTCTTTTTTTTTCTTTTTTTTTTCTTTCTCCTGTTTTAAAGTCACCTTGCATCAGCTGTCAATGAGAAATTTTCAATTTCAAGACAGTTTTACAGTCGGTTTGTCTATTTATTTCAGCTTTTTTTTTTTTTTTAGTTTATATATAAAACGTTTTTAAAATTTGAAAAAAATAAATAAATATATAAATCAGCAACACTTTTAACACAAGCTTTAACGGACTTGTAAAGCCTGCACGGGCCTTGTCAATTTTTCTTTCTTTGTTTACCAGAGCATCTTCTTAATCTTTCCATAGAAGCTACGGCATTGTGTACTGGACACGGGGCAACTTTTGAATGAAGTACAACTACTTAAATTGCACTACTGTTCTCCTGACTGGAAAGTTATCTTTGCAAGCGAAACGGTTTTAAACTCGTCAAAATAAAAGAAAGAGATGGGGTTGGTTCAACTGTTGGTGTTTTTTTTTTTTAAGGTGGTTTCTATGTAGAAGCTAGCATTTCTAACCGTTGATTTTTGGAACTGGAACCTCATTTTAAAATGCATTTATTAACCTAACGGATTGGCTCCTGTTGTAAAGATAATCCAGAGACTTCACTATGATCTTATGGCATTACACAGGCTGTCTGGGTAGAAATGTATGTCGAGAGAAGGGGCTTCTGATTCCATACCCAAGCGGTAAAATGTCGGTCCTTTTACGAGGATGGACTTTCTCAGATATTCACAAACTTTAAACCTGGGTGAGGGCGAAACGTGGGCACTTGTTTACAAACTTTGACGGTGAGAAGATGGTTGATTTGTGAATATTTGTACTGTGGCAAAGATAATAAATTGAAAATCCTATTGTGCCATGACTGGTTCGGATCATAGACGTTCCCTTTTCCAAGTCAAACTTTTTGGGTTTTTGTTCTTATATGTAACGGTACGTACAAGTTACTTGCTGTGTTGTCTATATTCTCTTCTACTCTCCTTCTTGGGAATACACAGATCGCTTTTACAGCAGAGACGATGCAGAAGAGAGAAGAGGGCTCAGCTTTCCAAAGCATTGTTAATCAGAAGTGTGACGTGGGAAACAATCCCAAACATATTGCTTTAAAAAGGCATGTAAATCAGGGGTGTTGAACCTTGGCAACTTTAAGACTCGTGGACTTCAACTCCCAGAATCCCCCAACTCCTCAATTCTGGAAGTTGGAAGTCCACAAGTCTTGACTTACAATAATTTGAGGGTGAAGGTTCATTCTTCGAGCTTGTGGGGGTTCTGTCCCAGCCTATGTGAGTCCTTGTTACTTCACAATGACAACCCCCCCCCTTTAACTAACAAGTAGGCTGGAAATGCAGGGAAAACAAATCCCTTTTATTAGTTAGGTACAGACCTGCAAAATATCCCAAAAGCAAAGGCAAACAAAACACGATGTAAACGGAGAATTGTCCAAGGCAAGCAAAACAGGATTCAAACGGAGAATTTTTCACAAGCAAGGCAAACAAAACAGGATTCCATGAAACTTGAGTCCTTTGCAAACGGTTGCCTTCAGCAACCAGCACCGCCCACACCTTCCCTTTTTATTATGCAGCCCCCCAGGCGTGGCTTCTCAATGCCTTCTCCTCCTCCCTTGGAGTCACCCCATTGCCTCCCTCTGTCCTGCTCTTGTTGCCTGTCTGCGTTTGCGAGCATCTATAATGTCTTCCAGCTGTGAGTCCTCAAGAGTTTGACTCAGCTTCCCCACACAGCTGAGTCTCAGCCTGAGCACGATTGGAAGGGCTAGGCTCTTCCGACTCTGATGGCTCTCCAGGCCCCTCTTCCTCCTCCTCTGATTCCCCGGATTCAGCTGCCGGGTCCAGTGGCTGGCACGGACTCACAACAGTGGGGTTTCATGACCAGGCTAGGTAACCTCTTCAGCAGAGTTTAGGGGATGTCCGTGTCAGTGTTCTGTTTATAAGGGCTTCGTGTGGTCAATAGGTCTTGTCATGGGTCAGTTGTGGGTGTGTCAGGTGAGGGTCTTGTGATGGGTCTTGTGTAAGTGATTGATGACTCACCAGACCCATCACCAGACCCTCACTTGACACACCCACACGTGTTCAGCGCCCTGCCACTTGTGCAAATTGAGCTGCGTGCGTGTGTGCAGCAGCCCGCCACTTGCGCAAATCGAGCTGCACGTGCCCCAGCCTGCCATTCACACAAGGGCTGTGTGTCTGGGTGTCTGGGTGTGCCAGACCAGTTCCCCTCTCCCCTCCCCCCCCTCTACCCTCCAAGCCACAAAGGTTGGGGACCTCTGTGCTAAAGCTAAGCCATGGCATTAAATATGATTCAGCCTCCCCTCCCCCCAGGTGTGCTATCTTGATTCCAGACAATAAAATGTGATGTTACGTAAAAGTACTACCAGCGTTGTAATTAGGACTCCTTTTAAAGCCTTCAAGATGACTGGAAATGTAGCAGCTACTGTAAGACGGTCGTTGTGAGTTCTGACCCATCTTTTCGTGTTTGGTATTTTTGCATGACTTTACGATGCTAGTTTTCATGTACTTGTTGGAGTCAGGTGTCAAAATAGCTGAATAAAATGTTGTTTGGTGAATGTCAAGCAAGCAGGAGCTGCTACAGCATGGTGTCATTGTAGAAGTTTAAGCTGAAGTGAAAGGCAGGAGCCAGCTCTGTTGGGAATCCTCACCTTGCAACTATTTGTTTAGTGACCATTTGAAGTGAAAAAAGTGACTTAATGACCGTTTTCCACACTTACGACCATTGCAGCATTCCCCATGGTCACGTCATCAAAATTTGGGCACTTGGCAACTGACATGGACTTAAAACAGTTGCAGCATCCAACAGTACCAAAACAGTTGCAGTCGTGATCACCCTTTGGTAACCTTCCCAATTGTATTCCCACAAGCAAAGTCGATGCAGGAAGCCAGATGTGCTTATTGACCACGTGTCTTGCTTAACAACTGTAATGCTTTGCTTAACGACTGTGGCAAAAGAGTCATAAAATGGGGCAAAAGTCACTTCACAACTGCCTGGCTTAGCAATGGGAAGTTTGAGCTCAGTGTTGGTGGTAAGTGCAGGACTGCCTTTATGTTCAAGCTTTTATCCTCATGTTTGAATTAACTCCTTAGTAACAAAAAGTTTTCCTGGGAAAAAAAAGAAAAAAACCATCAGTATTAAAGCTATGCATGCTGTAAAACTGATTCCAAACAAAGACCTTACAAGAGCATAGCATCTCTCTTCAGTTCATGAAAAAAGCAGCCAGCCTGTTTTAGGCTGAAAAAAGTTGTGCATGCTTTAAGGCAGGTCTCCAAACCTGGCAGCTTTAAGACTTTGTGGACTTCAACTCCCAGAATTCCTCAGGATTTAAAATGGCCATATTTGGAGACTCCTTCCTTAGATTTGGAGGGGAGATGGTATTATTATTATTATTCATTATTCATTATTCATTATTCATTATCATCATCACAGTCAACCAGATGTTCAGACTGGATTTGACATTTTTGTCTACCTATCCAGTCCTCCCCAAGGACCTGGGATAGGCAGATGTGGATGTTTGATGGTATTACAGATCTCGTCGCAGGATGGAAGCGGTTCCTAGTAAGGCCACCTTTTGCAATTGACTAATGGCGAATCTGTCAATGCCAATGGTGTTCAAATGGTGCTCCACCCTTGCTTGCCTTTGCCACAGTCTTTCTATTTGTAAGTCTTTGTATTTTGTTATCTTCTCCAATTCTTTCTTGTCTATTCTGCTGCCTCCTCCTCCTCCTCCTCCTCCTCCTCATTATTATTATTATTATTATTATTATTATTATTATTATTATTATTATTATTATTATTATTATTATTATTATTATTATTATTATTATTTTATCTATCCTATCCTGTCTGTGTCTATCTTATCTATCTAGCTATCCCATCCCATCCCATCCCATCCCATTGTCTGTCTGTCTGTCTGTCTGTCTGCCTGCCTGCCTGCCTGCCTGCCTGCCTACCAACCAACCAACCAACCATCTATTTTGATTCACAACCTGAGGAGACTGGTAAACTTTTAAGTCCTAACCTATGAATTCCCAGCATGGAGAGCTCCCCAGGCAGCATGGACTTGTGGACTTCAACTCCCAGAATTCCATAGCTGGCTGAGGAATTTTGGGAGTTCAACTCCACAAGTCTTAAAAGTTGCCAAATTTGGAGACTCCCAGCTTTGAAGGAGTTAACATGTTACTGTTAATGGACTGCAGCTGAGTGGAACACCTGACAGTAATTAAAGACTGTCCCAGAGATGCTGGTTTGGTGCCTCGTGAATCATTGTTTTGCTCTCCTATTGCCATAATTAGGCCTTCTTTGAAGGAGAAGGGCAGGTTAGCAATTGGAAATATAAATAAATAGATATTGGCTCGCAGTTTAAGCCCACCTTCACATTTAGCAAAAAAAGAACAACATGAAACCTCTCGAGAACGTCAGGTAAGTGAATATTGCAAAATTGCTTCTAATTTAACAAAACCATGGTTTGAAAGAAATGTCGGCTTCTGGAGAGAGGCCTAGTGCCGTTTGGTAACTAGGATTCAAATGTTTCCTGGGGGGAAAAAAGGGACTTGTCGTACCCTTTTTGGCTAACAAATATTACTAAAAAAGCTATATCTTACCTCATCAGATGCCTCAATGGGTAAATAGCTTTTGTATTAAACAGTTTTTGTTTTAATATTATCCTGATGCTCGGACTATTTTATTTTATTTTATTTATAAGATAGCTAGCTAGCTAGCTAGCTAGCTAGATGATAGATAGATAGATAGATAGATAGATAGATAGATAGATAGATAGATAGATAGATAGATAGATAGATAGATAGATAGATAGATAGATAGATAGATATCTCCAAATTTCTTTTTCTGCCAAGGCTCATATTGTAAAAAGTAAAACTGCAGTATAGCAGTTAAAATGTCAAGGTGTAATCAATCAGACCAGTCTGTCTGAAAAACTTCCCAAATTGGATATATAGGCTAGGTATGAGACAGATAGACAGTGCCTTATCAGTTTATAATTGTAATGTTAATTATATAATAACAGAGTTGGAAGGGACCTTGGAGGTCATCTAGTCCAACCCCCTGCTCAGGCAGGAAACCCTATACCATTTCGGACAAATGGCTGTCCAGTCTCTTATTAAAAGCTTCCAGTGTTGGAGCATCACAACTTCTGGAGGCAAGTTGTTCCACTGGTTAATTGTTCTAATTGTTGTTTATTGAGACCTAAGATTAACTGAAACCTTTTATATTGTAATATATATTGCCTAAACTAATATAATTCACACCCCCTCTCACATATGGTATATGCCCTAACTTGCCTTGGCACATGTAAAACAAGCATTTGCCTCCCTTCACATGATATTACGAATAATTTTTATCAAGAGAAGATTTACAAATATTTAAAAGACTACAGAAACATTAGAAGAAACAAAATATTACAAAATGGTAAAAGTAACAACAACAACGAAAAGCAAAATAAAAATAACGTGACTTCCCATCTTCACCACAGCTACAAACATTGCAATTAGCATCTCCACCTTTCCATATTGGATATCATAGTTCTCTTCTCCCCCTAAACAATAATCCTCAAAATAGCACTTACTTTTTAGCCATTTTCAACAAAAAGTCTATAAACAGTTTTCAGGTGGTTTTTTTTTAAAAAAAAATAAAAGTAGTTCTAGTTCCCTCCTTAACCAGCAAGTCAGTTTTTAACCATTCTACAAATCAACCATCTTTATAATATTTTTTTCCATTATTGGTGTTTCTGTAGGCTTCCGTTTTGTCTATATAATAGCCTCATTGCAGAAATAGTATATAAAGCCAAACGTCCATGAGCCTTATAATAATAACAACAA